AAGCCATTGCTCTTTCAAATTGTTTTAATAATCCTGTAAAATATGAAAAATATTTAGAGCATTGTTTTTAGCATTGACTTACTCAGGCATGCAAATTCCTTTTCTAATGTAACAGAGTTTCTAACTGAAGAATTATAGCCTGATATGTGATTTTTAACAGCATACAAAGGTGAATAAATATTCAAATGAAGCAGATGTAATGTTTACCAAGGTTCATCCCCCTAGATGCAGGTTGGCTCTCATCTCCTGAGATTTAGGTCCTTGTGTTTGTCCACAGTGTCGGGAGTCAGTAGATGGATAAATAAGGAATCTCTGACAACTGAGCTTTAGGCCTGAATAGTTAGAAGACTATAGAAATATAGACTACAGACCTATAGATTCCACAAGATTTCTCTTTTTTTCTCTTATATTACACAATTGCTTGATTCCACCTCACTTGTTTCTGTACAGTTTTATAAGTATAGGTTTATTCTCCATTTACCCACAAAGCCAAGATCTTACCTCTTGAAATAAGAATTCATTGCAAAGTAAGAAAGTCAAGGTTTTTATGATTTTATAGCATATAAGCTGTCCCTTACTATCACTGTTTATAATTGAAGATCAGTCTCTGAAGAGGCTCTGGATTCAAGTGTGATTTTAAGTCACCAGGGATCATTAGCTCATTCCCAAGTAAACACTGAGCAGTGCATTTCACAGAAACATAACTAATCTACAAAGACTGTCAATTTTAATAGGTATAGTTTTCTTTTTATGTAAGTATTGGTGTGCTTTCACCTGATAATTATAGAAAGAATATAATCATAAATTTCCTCAGCTAAATACTTGTTCTGATTTTTTTTTTGTATTTGAGTTTAGAGGCTATTAAACCCAAAATAAAAATGAAGGATTTAGGCTTGTTTCATTCAATGTCCATTTATTTTATTAGTATTTTTCAGTGATGGATGTAAATCATCCTATTAAGCACTTTGGTGAATATAGGAGAGATGAGATGCAAAACTGATTTATAAACAATTATTTAAGATACACACTTTAAAATATTTTAATTGATTTATTTTTGTTTTATGTGTATGAATGTTTTTCCTGCATGTATGTATATGCACCTGTGTCATGCAGTGTAAATGGAGGCCATCAGAAGGCATTGGATCCCCTGGAACTGGGGTTACAGACAGTGGTTAGCCACCATATGCCTCCTGAGAACTGAACCTGAGTCTTTTGCTAGAGTAGCCAATGTTCTTAATCACTGAGCCATTTTCCCAGCCTCAATATATGTACTTTTTAAGGTAAAGGGCCACAATACTACTATTATATAGAAAACTGAGTGGAAAATATACAGATGAATTCCAGCTAAGAATTAATATCTCATAACTCCTGCCTCAGGTGACAGCTGCTTTAGGCTTAGATGTGAGGGAAAATGGTGGAAACAGTAATCATCACCATGAAGACTCAGTCCAATATTCTTGCTCATCATATCTACATTACATCCTTTGCGCCTCCTTCACACAAGTGTTTGACCACTGAGCATAAACCAACTTTCATTCAGAGCTTCTGCTGTTCCTACTGGCAGATGGGAGTCAGAGACAGGATAATATCTGGAATCTCACTTGTGAACTAGTCTGGAGTACAAAGTAGTGAGCAAGTGAGAAGATAGCTCTAAAATGGTATAAGGTCAGCACTGACACACAGTGTTGTCCTTTAACCTTCACATGCTTACTGTGATGCAGGGGCACCTGAACTCTGACTCTCTCTCTCTCTCACCATTTACACATGTATCACACACAACACACAAACTACTCTATATTAATAAATGAAGAAATAAAATAGCCAATGTTTCCTCTACCCAGCTGTTTGTCTAACACTTCGTATACAATATCTTTCTTATTTTTTTAGATGGTCTCATGTGATCCAGGTTGCCTTCCAGTTTGCTATGTAGTCAAGAATAACCCTGAACATGTAGTAATCACAATCCCTTCATCTCTTAAGTGCTGGGATTATAAGTATCCAACACCATATTCAGCTTATGTAGGGGCTGAAACCAGGTCTCATGCTAGGGAAGTTCTCTGGACTATATCCTAAGCTCATAATTTTAGATGGTCTCATGTGATCCAGGTTGCCTTCCAGTTTGCTATGTAGTCAAGAATAACCCTGAACATGTAGTAATCACAATCCCTTCATCTCTTAAGTGCTGGGATTATAAGTATCCAACACCATATTCAGCTTATGTAGGGGCTGAAACCAGGTCTCATGCTAGGGAAGTTCTCTGGACTATATCCTAAGCTCATAATCTCATTTATCTTAATTACTTGGTGATCATTATATATATATAATATATACTTACAGA